AAAAGTATTGTTGAAACAGCCATGATCTATCGATCTATCTATCTATCTATCTATCTATCTAAAGTGTGAAAGTAGGTACTGCGATACTCAATACTGTAAATGGACAGACTAGGATATGAAGCTCAAGGTTGTTTGGACCGAAGTAGATCGAGCCCAACGGTGATGTCATGAGAGAGTGTCCTTCCTACTACAGTTGCATGTAATGTCATCTGTTTTACGTGTACAGGGGCCGTCGAGATCGATGTCTCTAGGGCTTACGGAGGTCACCGCAGGAAAAGCATTATACTCAGGGTGTATATGTCTACAGGGGCAGTAGGGCTATGTGGCAACGGAACAAATGGCTGATGTCTTCGTCTCCGCGGTACCTTCGGAGAGAACGCAGTTCTTTCTTGGCCTCCTCTTCACCGCTGCTTTGAACTGGGCCGACTTCTACCTAGATTTGTGGGTGGTCCTGCAGTACGGCTGTGCCTTGGAAGCCCCCTTAGATTTATAGATTTGGGATTCCGGGTTTTGAGTCTGCAACTTGGTCCAGAAAGCAACATGGGGCACATGTAGTGATGCATCTGCATATGGTGAAGAAGCCTCCAAGACAAGGTGTCTTACCTGGAAACCTCAGCGCCGGCTGTCCTTCAGATACAAATGGGAATCGTACTTGCGAGGTGCATGCCTGGTATTTTGGAATTGGTGTCTTCTTGCTCTTCACATCCAACTTGGTTCAAAGCCTTGTCTGGGCCGAGCGGTCTCTTGAATCGAGGGTGACCCCTCTTCAGACCAGCTCTGCAAAGTGGACCTATTGGACCTATTTCCTGGCATATCTTCTGACGTCCCTTGCGCAACTGAATTATCTGGTGGATGGTGCCATGGCCTTCTGCTTCGGTATCCCGGAGCTCGGCAGTGGCCGGTATGAGACAACGAGGCTTCGAGAGCTTCATAACAAGCTCCTGGAGAGCGCCCCGCAACTGTACCTGCAGTCGTACATCCTCTTTTCTATCGGTGGACATGGGGACCCTGTCGGAATCGCCTCCGTGTCGGTCTCTGCGATTGCTTTGGCCCATGGTGTGGTGAGGTTATGCCTTTCCCATGATCTCAAGCAGGGGCCACTCTCCCAGCCAATCTACTGCTTCGTGGCCTTCGTCTGGTTGACTACCGACCAAGCCTTAAGAGCAGCAGGCTTTGCTTTGGTGCTCTCCTCTGAGGTCCGCCCTTTCGGATTGACGCTGATGGTAGTTGCCTTGCTGGCCACATGTCTGAACGCTGCACGGAAGGGCAACAAGGCGAGCAGGATGCGGCTGGCTTTTGCAGCTGCTTTTGGAGTGTACTTAATCCCAGTTGCCCAAATTTTGAAGGGTAGCCCACGACGTGGGGATCACGAGGATGATGCATTTATTCCAGAGTTCGAACTGAAAGATACCCCAGATGACGGAACGAAGCGATGCTTACCGATTCGCTGGATCGAGACTGCCGGCTGTGCAGCCCTGTCCCTGGCTTTCGCCAGGACGAAGTGCGGCTATGCGCCGATTAGAGAAGTGGCGGGCCTCACAGGCGGGCCGCAGAACCAAGAAGCATGCTCGAATTCTTTTCAGAGCTATTTAATAAGTAGCTACAAGCATGCCACTATAATATATAAGGTTTATCATGAGTTTCATGAGACTCACAGGTCTTTTGCTTTTCAACATACTGGTCTATGCACTCCTGGAGCTTGGCTTTGACGCGGAGACCGGTGCACTCAATCTTTGGTCCAGCACGGCTCCAGAAGATTTACATACTGACCACGAGCTCAGCCGAAACGACGAAAAGTGCGCCGTCCACAGGGGGAGGGCAGATGTGGCCATTGTGGAGAACATCGCTATGGGCCCTCCTGCGCTGGCGGAGGCATCAGAAGGAGGTGCAGCTTGCTCGCGAGATTCCGCGGTTCCGATCCCACGGGACGAGGCATCACAATATTATTGCAGAGTGTGCAAAAGTAGGCTAAGAGTCGCTACAAATCTACGTATTTCATACGTGTACACGATATGTGTGTATGTTTATGTATGTATGTATGCAGGTATGTATGTAGTACATGCACCTACACAAACGGTGTACAACTCACACACACACACTCTGACACTGACAACATGGATACGCAAGCATAAGGATAACCACCCGAACCAAGAGGTGTATATGTCCACCCGTTTGTAAGCAAAGTACCTATTTTCACAAATCCAAGATGTGCTCGCCCATCAGGATCAGACCGATACGGCCGACGTTCGGGATCCGCCGAAGAAGAAGCGGAAGAAGTTTGTGAAGAGAAAAGTGAAGAAGAACCCAAGCGGAGAGGGCATCTTGGCTGTGTTGCTGCAGTTTAGGAGTTTAGGGTTTAGGATTTCGGGTTCAGGAGTTATTTGGGTTTTGGATTTGGCAATGAGCATGCCTTTCCCAGTTTCCGACTGTATGCAACCATAAAAAAAGCATCCAACACTCCTAAGTCCTAATCGAGCCCTAGCACACTTCATAGAATCCCTATGGGCCTATAGAATTCAGAGTGTTATATATATATATATACATCCTTCTTTTGTCTCTGATGAAGCCCTTCTAGAGCCCCTCCTGTAGATGCCAAACGATCACTCCAGGATGGCCGGAGGCCACCACGCTCGGAAGTCTCGAGCAACAGCCACTCCCGTGGGGAGACTCAGCGTGCTTTGTCTAGGGTAGATCCCTTAAGGGGGGGTTCCTATAAAGACCCTTTAGTAGTATAGGGTCCCAAATCAAGGGATCTACTTTTTAGATCCTCCCGGGGGTATGGGACATGGGTTCTGTAAAGCAGGGCTTAGGGTTTCTAAGTATAGGGTAGGTGACTTGTAGCCTTGTTGGGCGATTATGACCCCTGTATAATCCCAAAGGTTAGCCTGTAGTTGCCCCAGTATACTGGACAAGCTTGGTTTCTAGGGGCTTCGCACAGGTTCAGAGGGAGATTGGGCTTTGTTCGTCAAAGGTTTTTTAGGTGGGGAGTTAAAGGGGTTTGTTAAAAGTGACACAAGGGTTCTGTAAGGGTTTGAAATGGTATCGGTTTTTTGCTTACTTACGGGTTTAGGGTTTTGTGGGCTTCTTTTACGGGTTCGGAGCATACGGTATCATTCTGCAGGAGTTGTAACAAGGATAAATGTTCATTTATTCTACCTGTGTTTAGGTTCTCCGGTAGTAAGGTAGTACCCTTCCTTGGTAGCAACATATACAGGCTTCAACAGTTAGTACTACTACCCTAGACTTTCTTAATTCTACGATAACCAGCGCCAAAACCCGTTTCCCTTATTCCAACTCATAAGGCAACTCTATTACCTCTGAGAGCCCTGATTCATCTCTCTCCGTGTTGCAGCTCGACAGAGTGAAACAGGCGTAGCCTTTGGCAACGGGGATATTGGGGAACCAAGAAAAAAGGAGTTGTAGGAATCTTCAGTGTAGTGTGATTATAGTTTTTCCAGTAGTTTAAGTTTTCAAAGCCGAAAACTGCTAACAACCCTCGAAAACGATGGCATTGAAGGGTCCATGCCCCGACTTCCGAACCCAAGACAAAGCTGTAGTAAGTAGTTGTTGACGATTTTGTGTGTCGCCAAGATGCAAAGCATCTGATCTCCGGCGTTTTTCCAATTATAACCCTGCGGACACGGTCCCGGGTGAACATTCGTGAGACCCTTAAACTGCTGCTCCGAAGCCGATGCTGCAAATTGAAAAGGCGCGATCCCTGCAACAGGGTCTCTGTGCTGCATTGCCACCAGACATACGTACATGTTACATCTGCCGGTAATTACGATACATTTTTGAATGTATATATATATATACACAAATTCATACATAGAGTATACATAAATATAAATATATATATATATACATATATATATATATATATATGCACGCATGCATACATACATGTAAGGTCTTCAGGGTGTAGAAGTTGGAGGCTTTCTGGACTCTTTATATATATATATATGCACGCATGCATACATACATGTAAGGTCTTCAGGGTGTAGAAGTTGGAGGCTTTCTGGACTCTTTAGTAGCAGAAGCCCTCAAGAGGGGGGGAGTAGACTCAGGAACTGTTGGAGCGCCTACTTCGCAGCCGTCGTCGAGCTCCGGAAGTATAGGGTGCTTTAAAGAATCTAAGGTTGAACCCATGGGCCCCTAACATGGGCCCTTAGGGGATTCTAGGGTCCCTTAAGGGTATATATAGGGTATATAGTAGGTATATTAGGGTCCCCGGGTTAAGGGCCCATACTAGGGGCCCATGGGTTCTACCTTAGAAAGAATTGCCTATATTATTTTGGGGGTTTCTTATTATAGCTATAGTGTAATATACCCCTATAGAGCCTATTCTATTTATGAAGGCCCCTACATTTAGGGGGGCTTTAAGAACCCGGAGTCTCGAAACGAAACCAGGACGCCGGAGTCGGGGCCCGCTGACGACACCCTTATGAAGCCGTTGCCGTTTACCACGTTCCTGCCGATTCAGGCCTTTCGAAATTCTTGGTAAGACCTTCAAATGCGAGCTGCAGGAGCAAATCGTCTGCCAAGACGTCATCGGCACGGCCCTGCCCAGGCATGTGTCCTTCGAAGCTTCAGAACGCGAGCCTGGGATTAGGTTTTACGGTTTGGGGTGTAGTAAAAAGTGTTGGGGTTGCGGGGTCTTCGATTTCGTAGCCAAGAAGCCATCAGAGTTTGCGGCTAAGCGCTCTGAATTTCTAAACTGTCTTTGGTCAAGGATGAGGACGGGTTTCGCGCCAAGAGCTTGGGGCTTGACGGGTTCATGTGGACTTGCTGCTTTCATGCGGGATGGAGATTTCGTAAACTGACGAAACCGAGAGGCATGAGCGTTGTGCTTATACCCCCTACCATGAAAAGGACGGGACGAAAGAAATCGTAGTGAAGGAACCCAAAAAATGGCGCTGTGTCTAGGGTTCAGGTAGGCCTTGAACCTCGAAACTTTGCTCCAGGTGATGTGGAACATCAGCTGCAAGCCGCCAGCCTAAAGTTGCGTTTTTTACGGGCTTCAGCGATTCACGGTGTGCTTTGTTTTGTTTTTGTTTGGGGGGAGGGGGGGGGGGGCATGGAGTTTAGGGCGCCAGTTGCTCAAAGCCGCAGTTCAGAACATCCTGTGGCTCAGGAGCTTGAGCATCAGCTGCAATGCATAGCGGACGCGGAGGAGCGGGAGAAAGGCCACCCCCTCTTTTCATTGCACAGGCTCACAAGCAGTTGTCTTCGAGGTTGCCTTGAGACCCTCTAAGCCCTAGAAATATTCACCCAGCAGGTGACAACAACAAAGATACCTAAGCCTCAAACACGTAAAAACAGTTTAACTATATTGCACGCGCGTCGCAAGATGTGCGACACTCCTACAAGGTTCGAGCCGTAAGGTCTACTCCGGCAACGAGGTTATAAGAGTGTGAGTATTCTACTTCATACTGAGGGCGCTTAGGTGCATAATTCTTCAGGGCTTAGGGTATGTCTAAGGAGTCTAAGGTTTAGGTTTCCCACCCCCACACAGTGAGGCAGCGGGTAGTTACCGGGTAGTTTGCACGCCGGACCGCCTTTTGGTTGTTTTCAGGGCCTTTGTTGCATCCCTGCCATCAGTAGTTGTTCCCGAATCCTTCACCCTAGATCCCAAATATGAACTTGAAGTACGGTGTCTCCGACATGCTTTGCCGCTAAACCCGAAGCTGAAACTCTACTACAGGGATCGCCCTAAACCCTAAACCCTATAAAGCCTGCACACCGCAGGTCGCAGCTCCCCCCGCTCTCCAGCAGCCGCGATGGAAAGGACCCTCACTCAAAGCCCTACACCGAAAATGGGGCTCGGGTCCTTCGAGCATGTTAAGATAATCGGAAACTTTGCGACAGCGGTTTGTATGTTGGTCGAGGGGTTTCGGTACGACATAACTATGTGGTTTCTTGGCAACATACAGGGCTTTACACATCGGTTCATGTCAATATGTACATATATACATACACATATATAAATATATCTATATATGTATATATACATATATATATATATATATACATATTGCGTATTATCGGGAACTTGCTAAGACATGCTACGTGAGCTCTGAAGCATTGTCTCCGTCAGCGGGCGTCTTAGTGAACGGGCCTCTGATTAGATGAGTTTTCAGGATATTCATATATATATATATATGATTTCAGTAGTCAGCTGTAAGGAACAACGTTGGTATTTCTGCAGGAGTCTATATTGCTTTCTGTAAAGGTGTCACCCTGCTTAATTACTTGCTAAGTTCCCCAAATCCTCCCAGTACGATTGAGGAAGACCCCCCGTTAGCCCACCACAGGCACAATGCAAAGCTACACCCGAACACCCCTAACTAAATATTGTAATGATACTATACTAACACCACTCCCGAAAGCATAAGCCGCAATAATAAATAGATAAATAAATAAATAAATAAATATATATATATATATATATATACATATAGACACATACGGAGACATCCAGAAAAGCCTAAACCCTGATGGATACTTGAACCTTGACATTGCGTGCTGATTTCAGGAGTCGGCCTCGGGCCAAGACGGCTACGGGACAGGTGCCCCAAGGCCTTCTTTTGGGGCCCTGCTGTTTTAGGGTTTAGGGTTTAGGGTTTAGGGTTTAGGGTTTAGGGTTTTTTGTAGGGGCTGAAGACAAATAGAAAAAGTTTCTACCATATAGTGTAGTATAAGTATAAGGATTTTCGGGCTTAGGGTTGGTCGGGATTTAACTTGCAAGTCCTGATAGTTTGCGGACTTTTCCGGGCTGCGGGTCGAGGCTGCAGGGTTGAGGGTTCATAATTTGGTTTGGAACGGTTTAGGGTTTAGGGTTTAGGGGTCTAGGGTTTAGGGTTTAGGGTTTAACTTGGGGCTGTAAAAATGAGGCTCCTACATCCCAACCTTATCTTCTTTGGTACAACTGTCTTCAGAAACTCCGGGATCTAACGTGAACCCCGAGCAGTAGATCCTTTATTTGCCACAACATGATGCGTTCAAAACGATCTCATGTAATTAGTTGTATTTCCGTTGTTGTTGCAACACACAATACCTTCCAAAAAGGTCTAAGTCTAAGTCCGTGTTTTCGTCCTGCCAATCCACATTATAGTAGTGCTTTTCCTTCAACCCGGAGCCTTCAACCCGAACCCTGAGCCTTTCTGAAAGCCCTAGAGCTCGAAACCTTTTCCAGGCCTGGCAGGAGGTAACTTAAAACTGTATGGGTAGTTGTCTAAATTCGGGTCCCTTGTTAGGGTCCTTTTTATAGGGGTGCCGTATTATATTGGGGACCTAAAAAGGGGACCCTAATTTAGAGAACTGCCCATATACTTGACTCCCCGGTAAGGAAGATGCTCGAGCTTTGCAGTGAATCTGAAGGCACCTCGGCTCGCGCAGAGGCGCGACGACGGCGAAGTGAAGGTGTCTTTGATGCAACGGTGAGACCCTATCTTCGGTTCAGGACTTGAGCTTTAAGGGATTGCCAAGACCCCCACCTACCTTTCATTGGAGCCCCCCGTGGTCCTTAAGTAGGTATAGCTATGATATTGGGTAGCCTGTGAGAGTTAGGTACACGATCTAGACATGATTTAGGGATACAAGCGTAGTGGGTTGGGTCTGGGAATTCTGAGAAGCCCTAGTTTATGCATTAAGCCCTACCCGCGAAACCCTAAGCCCCTTAGCTCTGCAAGTCCTGCACTGTGAGTTGTTGGTTGTCGTTGTGGTGTTTTGTCTTGTGCGAGGTCTCGAGAGTCAAGCCCTGCAGCCCTAAACCGTGTTGGATTCGTTTCGATTCTGTGGGCTTCCCGGCTTCGGATCAGATTTTTCAGCTGCTGCAACCCGAGGCCTCAAAGACCATACCCGGGATTCCTTCGGAGGTTGAGGGTTTAGCCGCGGGGGCTTAAGCAAAAGGCTTACGGTTCAGGATTTTGACTTCCTGTAAGGGAACGGCTTAGAAGCTCCAAAGTTCGTCTAGTTCTTCTTGCCAAGGAAAGGTCACTTGTTAGCCTCAAGCCCGCAAATTGAATTTGCTGGGTGTGTGTGTGTGTGTCATAAGCTCTCAAGTCATATGGGTTTATCTGGGCTTTCCAGGTTTTAGTCACCTGCTGTTAGGGTTTGTAGTCGAATGGTTGATCTGCATTAGTTTCAGCTTTTCATTAGGCTTCAGGGTTTCGGGGTCGAGGGGTGGAACACCGGTTGCTGATATTTCTGTCAGAAAAGCTTCGCTTGGCCAGGTGATGCTCAGACGCTTCGCCCAGAGGTCGTGGGCTATCAGCTTCAGGTTTGGGGTTGCAATGTGAGGGTGTACAATACTTGTTCAGGTCTGACGGTGTTTTAGATGTCCTTTCTGTCAATTCTGGTTACTTGGGCTGCCTGTCGTGGCCCATGCGCAGGATCAAGACATGCATTCCAGCTCGTTATCCCAATCTGCCAGGTCAGGGAAGGCAAACCCCAGATACTAATGAGCCTGAAGCTCTTATACACAGCCTCTTTTTCATCCCGGTACCGTCAACCACAAACCCTGAAACTCACAAATACAGGGCCCGTCTGCGAGTTCTCGAGAGACAGCTTGCCAGGGCCACCAAAAGGCACCAAACAAAAACTGTTGAACCCCCCTGCAGGTATCTGAGCTTGGAGAGTTTATAGTTTATGTGCAGGTGCTGTTTGGCACCCTTCTCCAACCCATGAAAACTCTGGTAAACCTGTGAACTAAACCCTATGAAATGCCATGTCCCAAACCCCAAGCTCCAAGCCCTAACCCCTCAACAACCCTAAACCTAAACCCTGAACCCTAAACCCTGAAAAATGCTAGGTGGGAGGCAAAAGAGTCCTGAAATCACGCCAAACTTATCGCCGCAAGCTGCCGTGAGGCGGCCCAGGAGGATGGCCAAAAAGGCCGGGACGACACCTTTTGTGTGCTTTTGCATTTCATTTTTGGGTTTATATGGGCTCTGTATACGGTTTATAGTGGCGTATAGGGTTTGGTGTTTTTTGCTGTTTTTCGGGGCTTGTGGTTTTGGTTTTAGGGTTTGTTGTATTTTGTTTCGACCAGCCGGGCGACCAGGCACACTGGCTCTTCAAGATATGCACGAAGACCTGGAGATTAAGGCAGATAACAGACTTGACACCCGAAGCCCTAAACCTTAAACCCAAGGTGCCACGCATCCCCATGCATCCCCAAAGCTTCACCGCAACATTCTGAGTCGATGGAACCTCCCCTGTCCGAGACTACAACTGCCTTCGATACTGCCTAAACCCAACAAAACACACCGACGCCAACAACGCGCAACACCCGAACCCCCAAGCGCTACATCCGGATCCGCAGCAGCCGAAGCCACCCCAGCAAGGTCAGCTGAGTTCTTGGAGCAAAGCAAAGAGCAATTACTCAAAGCACAAAAAGCAGATTCTCTTATGGCCCCTTTTATGGCAACAGGCAGCATACCCCCAATGCCCTAGTCTTTTTAGAGAAATAATATGCCAAAAGACGGAAGGTCAGAAAACTGGGGCTGGGCCTTTGCCACACAGAGAGGGCGAGGCCTCCACTTCAGAGTTTCTCAGGGAGTTGGGGTTGATGGTGGTTAGGGTTTAAATATACTTTAATCCTGACTAGTCCTAAACTTTAGGGCTTAAATATACTGTAATCCCGGCTAGTCCTGAACTTTAGGGTTTAAATATACTTTAATCCTGACTAGTCCTAAACTTTAGGGCTTAAATATACTTTAATCCTGACTAGTCCTAAACTTTAGGGCTTAAATATACTGTAATCCCGACTAGTCCTGAACTTTAGGGTTTAAATTTTCTTTAATCCTGACTAGTCCTAAACTTTAGGACTAGTCAGGAATATAGTATAGGTTTGCTAGGGGTTTGCTGTTCAGGGTTTTTAGAGTTGAGGCTTTCGAGTTGAGGTTCAGGGTTTAGGGTTGAAAGTTTCGGGTTGGGCAAGATGCAGGGTTGCTTAGTGCTGACGCTTGGGGCAGTTTCGTGGCTTCACGGGGTTCTCACCCTGTTGCAGCAAGCGCCTGTTGTGCAAGCGGTTCGGAATGGGTGCCTTCTGGGGACTCCTGAACCCATCATGACCTACAGGAGCTCTGTCGAACCTTGACAAGGTAGGTATTGGTACTGGGGTGCTGGATCAAATCATGTGGAACTGTGAGAACCCCACATGCCCTACATAGGATAGAAGAGAAAACTCTAAGGCTTGGATGGGTTATGAAATTTCTTATCACAGTACTACACCGTCGCCTAACATCGCAAGATGGACAGGATGCATTGAAGCACGATGCCCGTAAAAGTGGCAAGTCCGTGCGTGAGCAAGTGGCTTGTGCCGAACCCATTTGGGACGGCCTGGTAGATGATGTCAGGCAGAAGTTTGAGCCATGCCGCCACTGATGTGGAGTGCCATGCAGTGCTGAGGCGGCTTCGCAAAAAAAAGTTAGACCGTGCCCAACCCTTAACCCCAAACCTTAGTCAAACTTCTATAAGGAACACCTCGCTTTTTTGGCTATGGCACTTGGATAGATACGGGTATTGGGAATAAGACAGTTCTCCTAAGATTGTATTTATCTTTTGGGGTGGGTGGTGCCGATAGCCGAAAATAGGCGAGGATGTCTCTAGCTAAAGGAACGCCTAAAGGAACCTTAAAGAACCGTAGCCCAAGCCAAACGGTACATCAGGAGGAGCAGCCCTCCAAGCTGCAGTTGCCGCTTTCCGCTCGAAGTACAGCGCCCGGCACCAAGCACCCAGGGTTGTCCAAAGAGTGAGGGGCCTTATATAGAACCCTCAATAGCAGGATCTTCAATGTAAACCTACAAATGTGTGTTAATTGAGGGTCCCTTTCTCTCGGATTCTCATTCGTGTCGTGTTGTTTTCCTTGCTTGCGAGAGTCAGGTGTCCTTGGACTCTAGCTTGTCCGACAGAAATCCCTGTTCATTTTGGTGATTTAGGGTTGTGATGTTTGAGGGTGCTAGAGTTGGTTCTCCGGTACTATTGAGGCCTCCCCACTAAAGCTGGACCAATCCGGGACAGGGGTTTATTCTTTCCATTGTTAGAGAACACCTGGTAGAGATCTTGAGGATAAGATTAGTGTTCAGCGGTATAGGGTTAGCATCCTGCCCTGAGGACATCATTTGAAACCCCGCAGTCTCGACTTGTGTAAGGCCTAGCGATTACGTGCTTGCCAAGCCTGCAACAACAAACACATGCACAACATCGAAAGCAATCCAGACCCCATCGCAAAGGTCAGCAGCAATTTAACTACGAACTGTTTAGTATGGTGTTGAATGTTACAACATAGCATTGCTGGCAATAGTATTAGTCTATTACAATATAACTACAGGAATGCTGACAGCAACAATATGACATGACTAATACTGGTAATGGTGTGAGCAACAAAAAACAATGTTGGCAATGCCAGTAGGTAGTAGTCGTCGTCATCGGCGTCGTCGTAGAACGACGAGGCGGAGGAGCGACAACAATGATGATAATGGAAATCCTAACCCCTAAACCCAAATGCAGCAATTTGGAAGCTCGTCGAGGCTTCGCCCGAGAGAGCTGCCAAGCAGCAGCCCAACGAAGGGGAAGGACAGCGGGTGACGACAGGAACAACCGCACAAATACGTTCTTTTGCGTTTCGGGGGTTGAGGGCTGAGGGTTTAAAGGCATAGGTTTATGATTATAGCGAGTATTCTGCTTTCTGGAGGGCCTTTTTGGCTAGTAGCACGTTTTTTTTGTGGGCTTATGTTTCTGGACCCCTTTGTACGAAGCAATGCAAGCCTGCTTACTGCAGCTCCGAGAGCATTGTAGGCATCGACATGTAGAGTGACTGAGGTGCCAGTGTTTCTGGCTTGGGTGCTGGGGGTAGCATTTAATTCAGACTTCCCAAGCCCGGATGCAAAACAGGATCTCTGCTGCGGCTGCAGGGCTTTGGTGGCAGACGGGAATTTCACAAACGGGGTTCCAAGTAACGCTCAGGAATTGCTTTCTGCTAGATTAACGCAAGGTGTCTTTCGTAGCTTACTGTACCGCAATCGCCTCGCCTTCGCATGGGCTAGTCCGCTTCCGGCATTGTTTTTTCGATGCAAACTCCAGGTGCAAAATCCAGAGCTTTGCACGACAGGCGGTCATTGTAAGATGAACTCCCGTGCTCTTCGCGACCGGCTGTAAGGCGTACAGAGGACATACCATAGCTGAATGAGTGTCGCAAAAAATCCATGGCGAAACGAGTAATGGTAGTGAAAGTAGTAAGGCAGACAACAGCTTAACAGCCCGGATCGTCGTGGTCATCATCGTCGTAATCTCAGCCATTGCCTTATACCACAAATCCTAAACTCCAAACCGTATACCGTAAGCCTTAAGCCCCAAACCCCTCAATCTGTTTTAGGAGCTGCTGGCCGCCTCATCTCCGGATGGTACGCTGACGTCCCCGCACTCGCAGGAGGCAGGATGTTGTCCGTGGAGTTGGTTGGAACGTTCTCTGCGCTTAGGGCTTCGAGGGCTTTAGGCTTTTTCTTTCGAGTGTTGTGGAGAGTCTGTTTGAGGGGTTTAGAGCTTTAGGGGTTGCAGAACTCTTTGCTTTAGAGTTGTGGGGTTTAATCCATATAGAACTTTAATTTCAGGATAAATGCTGTTAGGGAAACTTCGGAGGGGCCAGGTGTCTTCAATCACTGATTTCGGGTGCCCCGCATTTGATGTTGCCTTCGCGGGCTCAGGAAAACGGGAGGTCTCGCTTTGGTCTATATGTATTGGTTTACATCAACCCTGGTCTGCTTGTGTCGTTGCCAGGGTTCCTTCACTGTGTTTTCAGAGGCTTCGTAATATTGGTTTAGGCTGGGGTTGGCCAGGGGGTACATGCTTGGATGGGTCGAACGAATCCTCCGTCCTGCAACCGAAGAGTGGGTCTCGAAGGTTCTCAGCCAGGGTTCCCAAGCTCCCTAAACTAGAATCGCAAATTCTCTCGCTGCTGGCTCCAGTGTTTTAGCGGAAGAGCAGTACAGAGGCAGAGGCACATGCGTTAGGGATGGCCGTGGTCGGCGAGCCGCAGCGCGTGTCCTACCAGGCTTCGCTGTTTTGGGTTTTTGAGACACAAGGGCTTGCATGCTCTCTCGTGCGTGTGCTTTGTTCGGATGGTTTTGCTGCTGTAGGCAGGACTTGAAATTTACATGAAGGGTAGGGCTAGGGAGGGAGTTGAGTGGGGGTGTGAGTGTAGCACTGACAGTGTCATTGCGTACTGGACATATAAACAGCTGATTTTGACGAGTCGATTCAGCCTAAAGACCGGCCATCAGACAGTGGACTTTTGATGTGCTTCTTGTTTCATCTAGGATTCGGAAGACACTTTAGACAAACAGAATCGGCAAGGCTACTTCTTCGCGGGCTTGGGCTTTAGGTGAAGCTTGCCGGCTGGCAGTCCGGGCTTTTTGCTGGAAGAAGCCCCTGGTTGTTACTCGGACGGTTTACGGTGATGCTGTTCTTTTCGGGATTCCGAACTCCGTGTCTGGTGACCAGCTGTATGACTGTATGTTAGGGCCTGTGCTGTCAAGTGTAACCCCAAAGGCAAGCCGGCATGCCTTTGACTCCGTAGTGTCGGTTTTGGTTAACTCTCTCCCTTATGGAAGCAAAGGATCTCAACCCAGACCTACAAAACCATATCAGTTTCAGCAAACCGATGGATTCAGGGTATTGATGGCTGCGCGTCGTTTTTTGGGAAAACTCGGGGTCCCAACTAGACCTTAAATGCCTAGTCAAAACGAGTCAAAACCTTCAAAACTCGAACCCTAACAGCCTGGACCTTTAAAACCCGAAACCGTAAAACCATCCATTGCAAAGCGTTCACGTAACCCTGCAAAACCGTGCCAGAGCCCTGTGCAACCCCATTAATATATGCTGTAAAAACCCTTCCAGACAAGCTTACGCAGCCCGTCTGAGCGTCTTATAGAACCCTGATATAAACCCTGTAATCCCCGTAACACCGTGGCAAGAAAGGGTGCATAACACCAAAACAATAGTATAAGATCTTAGTAAAAATTCTAGTATAAATCCCCTCCCAAACTTTTGTATTTATCCAAACTTATGCAAATTCTTCGAAATTCCGCAAAGCCTTCAACAACCCGGATCCCGTCATAATCCTTATAGTATAAGCGCCTACACAATCTGTAAATGCCTCATATACAGCCCTTCCAGCTTTATAGGTGATCCAGTGTTGCGAAACCCCGGACTTTCCCTCTTCAAAAAATAAGACGCCCCCCAGAGCCTTGTGCTCTGCTAGAAGCCCGACACCCAAAAATCATGTAAAGCCCCTGAATTCATCTAAACCCTAAACCCTAAACCCTAAACCCTAAACCCTAAACCCTAAACCCTAAACCCATTCATGGATGGCCGTCGCCAGGCTCTGGTCGATCCCGAGACCGAGACCGTTACAGAGGGGGTGGAGTCTAGCCTCACAAGGAGTTGGGGCCTTAAGCCCTAAATGAGATGAGGGGCTCTGGGGAAAGGTGGGGGCTCTGATGCTGAGTTTTGCCATGCAGCGAGCTCTCGTATGGGCGTTTAAGACAGGGCTTTGGTGTTGTCTATGGTGTTTTATGGGTTTCCCAGTTTTTGTTGTTCAAGTGTTTATGGGGCTTGCTAGGTTTCTTTGCCATGATTTAATGCGCTGTTCTAGGCCCCCAGGTTTTCTTTCACAAGGATGTGGGAGTACGGTTTCTTGGGTTTCGAAAGTGTCACAGGATTGTCGAGTTTTTGGGCTTCATAGGAGGGTTTGCAGGATCTGCAGGTGTGGGCTTACCAGTAAGTTCGTCCGCATATTTTGCTTTATTCCGCCGGTTTGGAAAAGAATCTTCCCGCGTCGCAAACAATGTATTCCGCGCATCATCCCTTCAAAACCTGTCGCAGAGGGAAATGTATTCCGCGAACTACCCGGTAACTACCCCCAGCCAGACTCCACAGAAACAGCCGGGCTGCAAAAGTATTCCGGTACGCTTTGGTGCGGGTTCCATCCGGGTAAAAGGCGAAAATCTCTGTACGGCTGTTGTTCACCATCATGTTGGGTTTGTTTTCGCTTTGGGTACGGGTACGCTTTTTAGTACGGTCCCACTGCAGGCCCAAAAAAGTATGCCGAGCCGGGAGCACAAGTAAGTATTCCACATGTGGACGTGCACCTGTCAAAAATGCAAGCCGTCCATTCCAGCATAAAGAGTAGTCCGACGAACCTGTAGCCGAAAAGTAGTCTGGCGGAAAAAGTATGCCGGATTCAGAACTTCTTTTTTTGTTGGACTGGAAAGAAGTAGACGGGGGTAAGGTTTTAATTGTTATTTGTTGCTGCGGCTAAACCCTCAGATCCCTCACAGCCTTCACCCCTTTTTTCTGTCCCAAACCAAATCCTTGTGCCCCACCTAATCCTAACCCTGAAACCTAGATCGTACAGTGCAGGACCTGGCGAGGCCACACTGTGGGAAGTCTGTTTTCGCTCGTCGTGCCCAGGATGCAGAAAGAGTGGTCTGCGTACGAAGAAACAACGTAAAACAACGGCCCAAATATGGTCCTTGTATAAGAAAGACATACTATACCAAAGCATACCCCGAGACCCTCTTCCAATTATTCGTATACGGTCTATACTAGAGAGCTCCTTAAGTTGCCCTGCCGGGAACCCTTGGAGAACATTTGGTCGGATTCCAGCGCTTCCGCTTTGAAGCTGTGGCTCGCCCCGGAACGCAACCCAGAGCTTGCCCCAATGCCGGATTTTTTGGGTGAAGATCCCAAAGCTCTCGCTGTTTGGGGAATGTTACGGCTATGAAATGCAGCCCTATAAGCCCTAAAGCCCCAAAGACCCTAAACCCTACCGCTGAGGTGGTCTTCTCCCTGTCTCTCGCCTGGCTACCTGCTCCGCAGCCGCTGGTCGAGCCGGCCAGCGATCTGAAGGACCTTTGCGGAGCCAAGTTCCGTCTGATTTTGGGCTCAGGATTCGGGCTTGGGCGGGTTTGTATGGTTTAGGGTTCGGGGGTTTAGGCGGTTTAGGGTGCTTTTTTGATAGGGCTTAGGACAGTTTAGGGTTCGGGGCTCGGGTTTCTAGAAATGCTTTGCATGATCGGAGCTCAAGTTTGTTTGCCGGGTTGCAGGTGTCTTCCTAACACACCCTGGAAGTACTACGACTCAGCGCCACTCTGGTACCAGAGGTGCCTGAGTGAAGAAAGGAGTTTTGCTGAATTGGCCCTTGAAGTTACGATTTGGACACTCTGCTGACGCAGTAAGTGTGCCAAGTAGATGAGTGATGGGGGGTGTTCTAGGAATAAGCATACATTGGAAGGGCAGCCACGAAGCAGGTTGTCTAGTCAGCACACAGACTTTAGCAACTTGTAAAAGCAATGCCCCCCGGGAATAGTCAACTCCAATATACCCTAAACCCTAAACCCTAAACCCTAAACCCAATACTCTAATTATTCGAGGATGCGCCTGTGATCGAGATGAGCCGCTAGGCCCTTTGAGTCGGGGGAACTCCCTTCGTAAGATGCTTTAGGCTTGAAGGCATGTGCCTCAACGCGGATTTGGGGTTGGGTTCCGTAAGCCCTAGCTATAAGCCTAAACGGTGGGTTTTCCAGAAAAACGGACCAGGGATTTCATAGGGCCTGACGGAGGCTCGGCTCAAGGATTTTTCTGCCGGGCTGGGGGCCAACAAGGCCCACAGCAAATCTGTACGCCCACACCTCAACTTCAAAAGCATTAGTTTCTCAATTCCCCAGACCCGCCCACACCCCTAACCCCGCGACCCTGAACCCCAAACCTAAAAGAATCAAACGAGTTGCACATGAGATGTTGGAAATAGGACCTCTGTAGATCCCGTCTGGAACCCTCGTGGAGCCATTGTAGAATCCTGATAGAACCTTGAACCTTAAGCCGAAAAACCCTACCACGCCCTGCCCTTAAAGCTCCCAGGTATTGACTCCTACACGATTCCGAGCACCTGTCTCGGTGCTATGTTGCAGCTCGGACGGACAGTTGATTCCTCGAAGGGCCGTTGGGCTCCTTTTCAGGCCTTCGAAACAGGGGAGAACCCTAAGGACACCCTGAGAGGGTGAGCTGTATATCTAAGCGAATACTGGGCAACATCGCGCGCAGGTTTAGGGCAGAAGGTGAAGGGGGACGCCAGGATTTCAGCGGTTTCCGGGCGGGGTCAATGCTCACTTTACGGGTTTGAGGGTTTGGGATGGCAGACTTAGGATCTGCAGGGTTGTCTTTGCTCTGAGGCTTGTGGCAGGAGGGGTAGTTACAGGAGGGATGTCTAGCCGAAACCGGATGAATCCTCGATGCGCAGAGACCGCCACTCAAACTCAGGGGTTTAGTTTAGGGTGTCGGAGAAAGAGATCAGGGCTGAGGGTTTAGAGGCCTGGCCAGGACGGAAGGGCAGCCAAGCGTGAAAATAAAGCTTAGGGCAAGTCTGAACAAGCC